AGAAAAGCAGATTGAATAGAATCAGAATCCCTTTCCAGAAAGGCAATTGCAGACACATGGTGAAGCAAGCTGTACGGCTCTGCCCGCACTGTCTGAGTAAGGCAGACTAAATGACAGCAGGAGGCGGGACAGTGAGAGGCTGTGCGGACACCAAGCACAGGGCCCCCTCGCTCAGCAGCACTGGTCTGTTTACTCTTGGATTTAACACATTGTTTATTCCCATTTAAAAATCCAATCTACCTTTGCCACAGACAATGATTTCTTGGCTAACAATACTAAGAAGACAGAATGTGATCCCTTTTTTTCATTTGTTTGCCCAGAAAAGGACATTCTCACCCATGTAGACCATCAAAACAACACACAACCCTTGTGCAGTGACCATGTATTTAAAGGGGTCATCTCTCCACACACTTCACTTTGCCTGTGGCCCAGATGCGGTCAGGGTGGAGACCCACAGGTGGCTCCAGGGCTTCCCTGGGACATGCCGGTACTCCTGGAGACCCCCACCCTCCTCTCCTGCCTTTCCCACTCAGTAGCTGTAGCCAGAGTTGACTCGGCTTTGTATGACATGCAGGCTGGGCATCCTTCTTATGGCCCTGGTCTCAGGAGGCTTTGAGCTGAAGCTTCCTCTACACTGCCACCCTGAGTTGTCCACCCCCTGTGGAAATACTGCGCAGCCAGCAGTACCCATCTTGGCCATCAACTCCCTGTGGAGTGTCTGCTGAGAATCCACCTGAAATACCATCTGTCCCTTCTAGAAGCCCCTAGCCTAAACCTCTCTTCTGGATTTTAGCATATTAGACCATGCACATGGCAACTAGTAAGTCCTCTACTAGCCATTTTTGCTCTATCCTCCCCCAACCAATCAAACCTAAAACTCACTGACAGTTCAGGCTCAACCGGATCACAGGCTCAGCCTTCCCAGCACCCAGCAGAAGCCTCACACGTAGCCACGATCCGGACATACTTGGCCAGAAGAACAGCCTAGGGAATGAGGGGACTACACCCACCTCTCAGTGTCCCAAGCCCCAGAAACACTACAAACCCTGCGCCACTTGCCCCAGTGACCGTGTCTCTATAGTTCGACCATCACTTTTCTGAGGCTTTCCCCCACTCCCTGAAAATGCCAAACACATGCTCCATGCTTCCAGTCCACCCTGGAAACACAAAACCACAGTAACTCAACCAACGGACTCAGCTTCCCGGGTGCATGGACAGCCGGAGCGCTGGCCCCAGGTGCAATGGCTGGGGATTATAAGGAGAGGAGGCCAGACTGAGGCACGCCCACACCTCCCAGAGGCCCTTCAGACTTAAAGATGCCATTGTGTGACAGCACAATGACTGGTTTGAAAGGGTTTTTGGTTTCTTTTTTAATTCTCATCATCCCACACTTTAGGGTGACTCTAAATGACTCATGATAGAATATACTTGCAGCATCAGAGGTGAGTGAAGCAGACATCAACATGCCAATTTCCCCTAAAAAGATATTCTGAAATCTTCATATTAGACTAAACACAGCTGTGAGTGGACAGGGGACAGAGCTCTAGGGTGCACACACACAGGTGTCAGGCCCTAGGTTCACCCTGTGGGTGTTGGCCTAGGCCATTCCATAAAGTGGAAATAAGCCAGCCCTGTGCTGTTCTTTTCTGCAAAGTGCAGAGAGGGGCCCCCAGCTGCTCACATCTCGGAGTGCCTGCAGGGAGCAGGTACTCCCAGAGCTCTTTGACTGTGGAACATGCCCTGAGCTCCCTGGCCCTCTCCGTGAGACACAGGAGAGAAGGGCAAGTGCACACAATTCAGTCCACACCAGAGGCAGAGAGCCAGAACAGAAAAAACAAAACCCAACAAGACAATTACTCCTAGAAATATCTTCTCCCCGAATTTTTTTGCCATTGCTTTCTAGCTTGCCTTTCACCCCTTGCTGCAGCAGTGCCAGACCTCGCTGCCAGAAGTGGCCAGGACTCTTCCAATTGTTGGGAATCTGCACAACATCCCAGTTGTTCAGTCAGCTCCCCAAAATTATCACTCAGGAACACTCAGTGGCTTCCCTTGCTTGTAGCCAGATCTTTGCCTGACCTCGCTTATTAAAAGGAATTTAGGGCATGTGGATGGAGAGGGAAGAAAAAGCTAAGACTGGGATAATGAGCCAAAGAAACTTGATTTTTCAGAACTCTGGGTTAAGAGTTAGAAAACCTGAGTTCCAAAACTACCTTTGGCACTTGATGGCCTTGCACGACCTTGAATAAGTTGTTGAGACTCTTGGACTGCAAGCCCTGGCTGGTGTGGCTCAGTGGATTGAGTACTGGTCTGCAAACCAAAGGGTCACCAGTTCAATTGCCAGTCAAGGCACATGCCTGGCTTGTAGGCCATGTTCCCAATAGGGATCACATGAGAGGCAACCACACATTGATGTTTCCCTTCCTCTCTTTCTTCTGCCTTCCCCCCTCTCTAAAAATAAATAAATAAAATATTTTTTTAAAAGACTCAGGCTTCAGCTCCATAATGACTTATGTGAGGATTCACTTCGCATAGACTTCTTGAGTCTCTGTTTTGGCCAGGCACCAAGTGGACACATCCTCATTGTCTCTAACAGTTATCGTGACAAGTGCCATGCACAGGCCCCAACCCCTGCCCTCCTCTCTGATGCACAACATTGACTGCCAGGGAGGATCAGATGAGAGAAGGTTCTAGAATGCCAGAACTCCACATGGATGGAGATTGTCATTTTCATCATCTAGGTCAGCCTGGAAATAAGAGGCCATAAAAGGTACTAGGGGCTGATCTAATTTCTGAGCTGACGCATACTAATGTGACTTGATAGCTACTATTTAAATCCCAAGTGTTTGAAGGATTTGGGGTATATTTTAGTCCACTGTTGAATTACTAAAACCCAAGAAATTATTTCAGGTGCATTTTTAAAATACATTTTATTGATTATGCTATTACAGTTGCCCATTTTTTTCTCCCTTTTATTCCCCTCTGCCCTGCACCCCTGTTCCCACCAGCATTCCCTGCTCCTTAGTTCATATCCATGGGTTGTACAAATAAGTTCTTTGGTTTCTCCATTTCTCATACTATTCTTAACCTCCCCCTGTCTATTTTGTACCTATCATTTATGCTTCTTATTCTGTGTGCCTTTTTCCCCATTCTCTCCATCTTCACCACTGATAACCCTCCATGTGATCTCCATTTTTGTGATTCTGTTCCTCTTCTAGTTGTTTGCTTTGTTTTTGTGTGATTTTTTTTAGGTTCAGTGGTTGATAGTTGTGAGTTTGTTGTCATTTTATGGTTTATAGTTCTTGATCTTCTTCTGTTTCTTAGATAAGTCCCTTTACCATTTCATAGAATAAGGGCTTGGTAATGATGAACTCCTTTAACTTGACCTTATCTGGGAAGCACTTTATGTGCCCTTCCATTCTAAATGATAGTTTTGCTGGATAGAGTAATCTTGAATGTAGGTCCTTGCCTTTCATGACTTTGAATACTTCTTTCCAGCTCCTTCTTGCCTGTGAGGTTTCTTTTGAGAAATCAGCTGACAGTCTTATGGACACTCCTTTGTAGGTAACTACCTCCTTTTCTCTTGCTGCTTTTAAGACTCCTTATCTTTAATATTGAGTAATGTAATTATCTTGTGTCTTGGTGGGTGCTTCCTTTGGTTCAACTTCTTTGGGACTTTCTGAGCTTCCTGGACTTCCTGGAAGTCTATTTCCTTTGCCGGATTGAGGAAGTTCTCCTTCATTACTTATTCAGATAAGTTTTCAATTTCTTGCTCTTCCTCTTCCCCTTCTGGCATCCCTATAATTCAGATGTTGGAATGTTTGAAGTTGTCCTGGAGGTTCCTAAGCCTCTCCTCATTTTTTTGAGTTCTTGTTTCTTCATTCTGTTCTGGTTGAGTGTTTCTTTCTTCCTTCTGCTCCAAATTGTTGATCTGAGTCCCTGTTTCCTTCCCTTCACTGTTGGTTCCTTGTACATTTCTCTTCATTCACTTTGTATAGCCTTCACTTTTTCCTCCATTTTGTGACCATACTCAACCATTTCTGTGAGCATCCTGATTACCAGCGCTTCGAACTCTGCATTTGATAGGTTGGCTATCTCTTCATCACTTAGTTCTGTTTTTGGAGCTTTGAGCTGTTCTTTAATTAGGGCCACATTTTTTTGTCTTGACACAGCTGTTATGTTGTAAGGGGTAGAACCTTAGGTATATGCCAGGGTGGGGCAACCAATGTGGCTGCGTAGTAGCACTGTATGTGGGGGAGGGGTCTGAGAGGGACACTGCTGTTTGCTCAACTCTTTTCTGGCTCTCAGTCACTTCCTTCACTACCCACAAGCAAATTGGGTCCTTCTAGTGCTGATGCCCCAGTGGGTGGTTTTGTGTACATTGTAGGACCCTGTAGGTCTCTTCAATGAACTCTCCTGTGAGGCTAGGAGTTCCTCCTGCCACTGCAACCCCCACGTATTTTTATCACCAGAGGTTTTAAGGCTTTATTTCTCTGCACTGGAACCCTGGGTTGTGTGGTCTGTCTCGCTCCTCAGTTGTTCCTCCCAGTTTATCTGCATGCAAATGTGGGACTGCCCTCTCCACCAACCTCCACCTTGCCCATTCTTGTCCGAAAGCTGCTGCTTCAACCACTGGATCTTCCAGTTGCCTCCTTGATGCGAGTCCTTTCTGCCCAGCTGCCCATCTCTGCCCCTTCTACCACTCTGGATGAATGTTTCTTCTTTAACTCCTTGGTTTTTGGACTTCCATACAGTTCAATTTTCTGACAGTTCTGGTTATTTTTTGTTATTAAATTTGTTGTTGTCCTTCTTTTGGTTGTTCAAGGAGGCAAAGTATATCTACTTATGCCTCCATCTCGGCCAGAAGTCTCTCTACTCCACAGCAATTCTCTCTGCTCTGGTCTAGCAAAATGTCTTTGGTGGGGAAGTGCAGCCTTCAACCTGGGAAGGAAGGGAAAGTGCCCAGGTGCATTTTTTAAATCAGGCTTTCACTTGCACTGTAGGTGGCTGAGTTTGTACAGTCTCTGCTGGGCTGTGAAGAGCATGCCAATTGCTTCAAGAAAGAGGTAAGAAATGTAAAATTATATATTCATCTCTATACTTCTAGGCCCAGAAGGGCTTTGTTTCCATTTACTTAAGTATGAATAAGAGCAGTTTGAGAGGCAAGAGAAAAGGGTCCCTGCAGGAAAGAGCCCAGTCATAGACTGGTCACATGAGGGCCAACCTCTGTCTGAAGCTCACTTGTATTTGCTGTGCTGGGCTCACACAGCATGCTGAGGAAATAGACCATGTGAACACACTAATTGATTGACACTCATGATCATCATGAAGCCCCTGCACTGTGACTCCAGGCCACACTAGGGGCAGGGAGGAATCCCACCACATGGCTGTTCCAGAGAGGAGAGGGGAGAGAAAGTGGGGCCATCCTGTATATCTCTGCTCTTCAGCTGCTTCGGGGGGGAATGCAGACAAGCCACAGAATCCTCCTGTGAGGTTTCTGCTTCCTGCTTCTCTCAGTTACAAGTATACCAAACTGCTTAATGTTTGTCCCGGAATTAATATCCACCACTCTAGGGGCCCCAGAAGAGATGGGACCAGCTACAGAACAGTAATGCAGATAACAATGCTAGTTATTGTTTACTGATAGCTTGCCATATATCAGGCCCTCTGTAATCCCTGCACAATCATCACTCCTGGGTCCTCACAACTCCACAGCGCAGCTCACCAGTGAGGAACCTAAGGTCAGGAGGAAAGGGCAGTCAGGTTCCAGCTCACATCCATCTGATTCCAGAGCCTCCAGTGTTGCTCTAGAACACTGCAAGAAAACTGGATTCCTAGGGACCCCAGGAAGTAGCACACACTCTCCCTGTCTGATGTTGGGGCACACGTGGCTCATGGGAAATACTCTCTGAGTTTGGGGTACTGGGTCCTCAGAGTCCCACAAGCCTTGTATTTCCAGAGAGCTCAGCAGCAGGGTCATTATGGCATCAGTCTGTGTAGCCGCCAATGGAAACTGGGGCTTTTCCTGGTTCTGCCTGGGCCCAACCTCACACACACAGGCCACTCTGCATTGAGCAACACCCAAGTCCCACCGACTCCGCAAGTGTCTTTGTAGGTCAGGCTACTCAAGCTTAGCACTTAAGGCCAGCAGTGTCACCATGGGCACATCACTTCACCTCTCTTATCCCTCCTCTTTAAACACAGAGTTCTGTGAGGAGACCTTTAAGGATTAGGGTTAGTATGTTTACAGTACCTGGCCCAGCTCTTGTCCCAGAGTTGAGCTTAATAAACAGCAGTAATATAGACCAGAGGGTCTCCTCTGGAGACCACCAAGCCCTGCCAGCAATCCCAATATCATCTGTGAGAAGCTATGTGACTCAGGCAAGTCATTAGGCTGATTAACTGTAGGATTTTTCACCCACCTTATGGAGTTGTTAGAAAGATCAAGCACACAGAAGAGACTAGCGTATAGCTCTATACATGTTAACTTTGTTATCATCATCATCACCACCATCATTGCCCTCTTCTTAGTGACTATTTGGCCAATAGATGTTGCCTGAAAACCTGAAGGTGCTGGAGCTGAACCAGGTCAGGGTGTGGCAGTAGGGAGCCCCTCTCTGCTGCTGCAGGAAGTGTACTTTGTGCCCCATGGGAAAGGTGGTCCATTCTCTAAACGGACGATCCCTCATCAGACAATGTATCATACAAGCACAGGAAGCTTTTTAGAACTCTTAAAGCTTTACCCCTCACCAGGGATCCCAAGGTGATTCCTCCTTCAGTAAGACATTAATACCGAGGGTTTGTACCATTAATTAAAAAGGGTTAGAACCACAGAGTTAGGCTTGTGGAGGGGTGGTACTGTAGAAAACCCTTTCACTCTGTCCTTTTCGTTCTGGACCCAGGACTCATTATGAGCCAATCTGTGTAGACAGTTGCCTGGGTGTAGGACCCACCGGGCTCTGGAGCTGCCACTCTGAGGACACCTGGGGCCACGGGAAGCTGTAGGGAAGCCGCCTTCAGGGCAGCCCCTGGCCTCATGCAAGGCTCAGGAGAGCTAATGCTTTTCTCAGGCTGCAGTGTGGTGGAAAGGCTAATAAATAAAACTTTTATGGCTTAGGTATTTCTGCTTATTATAGCATTTATAATTTAAAAAATTAAAATATAGGAAAGTGAAAAGGAGAAACTAAAATCCCAACCACTATTCCACCAGCCAAAGATAACCTCTGTTAACATTTCATACAAAGATTTCAAGTAGTTTAACTATGTGTATGTGTACATGTGGTCATGCACATTTAATTTCACAAATTAAAACTGAGATCTTTCTATATCATCATAATCATGTTTTGCTGTTTAACGATTCATGAAAATTTCCCAAATCATTAAATGTTTCATTGAAACATGATTTTGGTAACTGCCTAGTACCCTTCCTAGGTGACACTGTAATTTATTTACTGCTGCTAGTTTTGAGAGGCCAGGCTGTTTTCAATAATTCATTCTTATAAATAACACTAGAGTGCACGCATTGCCCATTGTTCTCTTGGGGAAAATTGCTGGAGGTTTGCTTGGTGGATGAAAGTAGGTTATTTTTAAGGCTCTTAATATAAATTTGGGCCAACATATTTAAAATATAACAATAGAAATGTAGCCTGGAAGCAGTTAGTGTATATCGAATTCATATTTAACAGAGTGAACACCTTTTGCATTTAACTTAGCTTTGGAGTCCTAGGGGAAAGGGATGAGCAATGGCTGGGACTTGGGCTTGTGAGGGATGCCATCGCTCTGCACGGCCACGGAGCTCTGCAGGGAGGCCGAGGCTTCCGGCTCAGAGTCATAGCTCCCCACCCAGGACTTACCGGAGGGTAAACAGCTTCAACGGCTTTTCTTTTTATTCCTGTTTATTTATTCACATGCAGCAGATTGACGGCAAAGCCTTCCTGCTTCTGACACAGGCAGACATCGTCAAGGTGATGAAGATCAAACTGGGCCCAGCACTGAAGATTTATAATGCTATCCTCATGTTCAGGGATTCTCAGAACCTCACCGAAGAGGACACTGTCTCGGGCTGAGAAGTCAGGGGCTAAATGCACTGCCCGAGCTGCCACCTCACTGGGACCTGGTTCTTTCAGCAATGAAGTTGGCCTGCACTGATTTGATTTTAATGCCCCTGTGGTCATATCCATATTTAATCTGGACCTTTTAAATGGCTGTGGCTTATATGTTTAGAGGGTTTTGATAGCTGCTTCAGGGCCAACAGCACCAAAGCCCAGGCAGGCATACAGTTTGTGGATAACCTTGCCTTCAGTGGGGCCCTTTCAGCTCTGATGTGGGGCCACAAACAGACCAAAGAAGCAGCCGCATACACCTTTATTCTTCTCCCTTGCCATAAAAGACACTACTTCCCAATTCAAAAGCATAAAACTCACAAGTGGTAAAATAGTAGAAAAACAGAACTCATAAATACTTGTAATGTTTTCACCAGAACAACTGGGCCTGGCTCAGACCTGCCATCTGTGTGCAGTGAGTCTAAGAGACAGGGGCCTGGTGCTTTAAAAAGATTTCATGAGGTTTTTGTGTACTTTACTCAGGAAAGTGTGAATTTTTAAAAAATAATGATAAGCACATATTTTTATGATTCAATAGTTCTTTTTGTTCCATTAACCACTTCTTGGTTGTGCTCCCAAGGCCTCCTGGAATGTGCCCAGCAGCTGCCTGAGAAGAGCCTGGGCAGTTAGTGGAAGCTGGGGACCCTCCCTGCCACAGTGCCCTGCGGGCTGTGTGTGGGACCCGCCGCAGGGAGACCTCATCCTGACACTGGCCTTGGCTAGTGGGCCAGATGCCCACCAGCACCAGAGGCCTCCCCTGCTGCCACCCTGAGGCAGCCTTCGGGGAACTGGTTTGCCCTGCAGTCATCTGAGTGAGTGTGATGAGGAGCTGTGGCACGGCTGGGCCTTGTGCACTTCTTTACAGGGACGGCATTAAAAGGGACGATCTCTAACGTAGGGAGCTTGCAATCTATTTTTTTGTTTTAACAATTCTGACTTGTTATCAGACCTTACTTGTTGTGTGTAAGTGACTGTATCTGAAACTTAAGTGACATGGAGTCAGCCCCACACACAGTTTTAAAAACAAGCCCCTTTTTGCTGACACACACCTACAGTGAGGGCTACAAATGCCCCCATGGAAGCGGGGCTCCAGTGTCGTCTTTAGTGGGGAGAAGAAAGAAACGGGAAAAGGAACTGGGGCCTGACCATACCCATTTTGTTTCAGTAAGAATCTGATGCTTGGAGAGTTCCTCAAGCTTTAGGTCACTGAAAAATAGAATCTTGTCTAAGAAGTGTCACACACATTACATTTCTTTAGGTCCTTACTCAAGTGGAATTTTAGTGTATTATTGGTTGATGTAAATTTTTCTTTCTATGTCACTTTCTTTGTTTTGTTTTTGTTTTGTGGACTGCCATGCACAATTCAAATTCTTGCTTCTCTATGTCAAAATTTTAATATATTTTAAATGATAATAAACAGATAAAATAAAACCTTCACCTCTCTGCCTTAATGAATATGTTGTTATAACCTGTTCCCGTGCCACAACCTGGAGGCTGGTTTTCATCCTTTGATGAGTGAAGGTGTCGTGGCATGCTTTAGCTCGCAGACAACACTGTTTTGGGGTACTTGGGGTGTTTAGGGAATTAAATTTAGCTGTTGATAACTTAAGAGATTTAATTTAAAAAACTCAAAACTGCTCATTGTAGAGGCTCTGTGGAAGGCATGAGACTTGGGTTTGTGTATTTAATATTGTTAATGTCATTTCAACAGAAGATCTAACACAGGACAGAATACCAAGCCATATTAGGGCAGAACTACCGTGTTCCAAGAAGACAGTGCAATCAGATTGAAAGAACTCAATTCAGGTGTCCAGCTGCCTACTGGGCTTCCTCAGTTTGTCACCCAACACCTCAACTTTGACAGATTCAAAAGGCAACTCAGATGGCCCCATGCCAGTATTTTCCCAAGTGAATGACAGCATCATCACAGTAGCTGCTCAAGCCAGAAAACTAAAACCGTCCGTGTCTCAAGTTCTGGGCGATAAATTCTTCTACCCACATGGCATCATGGAACTTGGAGATGGGAAGAAAGGTGCCCAATCAGCTTCCAGGCTGGCTCCTGCTGGCCCCAGCACCCTGAAGGCATTCATACCTTCCTGCCTTTACTCTCTTGAACTTCTTTCTTTAATCCACACTCACCTTTCCCTTGCTCCCCTCTCACCTTTGTTTATGCTGACTCCTCTGACTGAAGTATCTCTCCTACTTCCCTGTCCCCTTGTTCAGTAGTCTTTCTTGACACCTTAACTGTGAGGTTCCCACTGCAGGTCCCATGGCAGCTGTGCCTTCCCACTGCATTGCTCCTGACTCTTCATTGTCATTACTTCTTTGTCTCTCTTGCTAGTCTAGAGGGTTGAGGACAAAGACTATGGCCATCATGTTACCACTTACCCGAGCATTCAGCATAGTATCTAGCACTTAATTGGCACACAATAAGTTACTTGTTGCATCAATGAATGAATAAACTAATCAAACTCAAATCCAAATCTCAGCTCTGCAACTTCCTAAGTAAGTGTAGCTTCTCTGTAAACGAAAGTAATTCCTACCCCAAGGAGATTTTTAAATTTTACTTGCGTGTGTATGCATGTATGTAATCATAACCAACGTGCACACGTAAGGTGCCTGGCACCTAATGGTAGCCATTAAATAGATGAAGGAAAATAACAGCAACAGCAACCCATTTCTTGAACATTCTTCCAGGAATCTCCCTCATACAAACCCTGTAAGATTGCATCAGACCTAACCCCAAGGAGCCCTCTTTTTTGTGTAGCTGTGTGTTGGGGTCCCAGAAGCATGCAGGGCCAAACCTGGGGGCCCTTGGTTGCCCTGACTCCACTGCCCCATATGCAGCTTCCACTCCAAACATCTCCCTTCCCTGTCCCCATGCCCTCCAGAAAGGCTGGAACATTATGAGTTGAAATCTTTCGCTCTTCCCAGAGGACTCCTACCATCCTCAGGAGTCAGGCAGCATCCAGACATGCCCCAGATGACATGAAGGCCCCAGATGCCCCTAGGTACCAGCCTGAGCCTTTTACTCTTCTCCTCTTTTCCCGATTCCCACACATGGAATGTGAGTGAGTTGGGAGAATGTTTCCAGTAGAGCTTCAAGAAATATAAACTTCTGGGTTATTAGAAAGAGTTCCCCCAAAGGACCATTTGTATAACACATCATAAATACACATCATGATCCTGGAAATTAGATCATTAGCAAGGATCCTAAGGGAGCTCAGGACTTCTGAGACCATAGTCTTTGAATGCCTTTAATTTCAGATGACTTTTGCAAAAATAAATTTTTCATTTCCAATAACAAACAGACATTCTGAGAAAAACCTAGCCTCAATCAGCTCTGCACATCTATTTTCTCACTCTGATTAGGTGATGACCTTGTATAACCCACATCCAAAAGAGATTCCAGGAATAACAGCACAGGAGACTGACTTCTCCTTAAGTCAGGGCCACAGGTTGTGACATCTTTCCCTTGCTGTGTGCTGACCCTCAAACATCCCTGCGATTTCTTGGTCAAGCTACCTTTGTCAATGCACTCTCCATCCAATGAGTGAGGGTTGGACGCTGTGAAGTGAAGGGAAAGTACTTGGGCTTTGCAGTGAGGCCCAGGCTTGAATCCTGAGGTCTGTGCCTACATGGGTACCTAACCTAGAAGTATTTCTAATCCACCCAGCAAATGACCAGCTTGCCACATTTATTCATTTCTTTTGCAACATTGAATTTTGATTGCAGTATGTTCTGCTTCATAGCATTTTAAAGAATATTCCGTTTGTCTCTGCAACTCCCAGAACTGCAAAGTATGTCTTTGGAATGCATCCTGTTCTTCACACTTCAGGGTCATTGTTTACACTTTTTTAAATATATATTTTATTTATTTTCCCCTATCCACTCCCTTCCTCCCTCCTGCACATAACCCTCCAAATTATCTCCATATCTAAGATTCTATTCCTGTTCTGCTTGGTTACTTAGTTTGTTTTTTTAGATTCAATTGTTGATAGTTGTGAATTTGTTGCCATTTTAATGTTCATAGTCTTGATCTTCTTTTTCTTATACAGTTCCCTTTAACATTTCATGTAATAATGGCTTGGTGATGATGAACTCCTTTACATATACCTTGTCTGGGAGGTACTTTATCTGCCCTTCAATTCTAAGTGATAGCTTTGCTGGATAGAGTAATCTTGGTTGTAGGTCCTTGCTTTTCATCAGTTTGAATACGTCTTGCCAGTCCCTTCTACCATGCAAAGTATCTTTTGAGACATCAGCTGATAGTCTTATGGGAACTCCTCTGTAGGTAACTATCTGCTTTTCTCTTACTGATTTTAAGATTCTATCCTTATCTTTAACCTTTGGCATTTTAATCATGATGTTTCTTGATGTGGTCCTCTTTGGGCCCAACTTGTTTGGGGCTCTCTGTGCTTCCTGGACTTATATGTTTATTTTCTTCACCAAATTAAGGAAGTTTTCTTTCATTATCTTTCAAATAAGTTTTCAATTTCTTGCTCTTCCTCTTCTCTTTCTGGCACCCCTATGATTCAGATGTTGGTACATTTGGAGATGTCCCAGAGGCTTCTTATTCTATCTTCACTTTTTTAAATTCTTTTTTCTTCTTGCTGTTCTGATTGAATGCTTTTTTCTTCTCTATGTTCCAAATTGTTGATTTGATTCTCAGCTTAATCCTTTCCACAGTTGGTTCCTTGTAGGTTTTTCTTTATTTCACTTAGTGTAACCTTCATTTCTACCTGGGTCTTTTTTCTGCTGTTGCGGTATCCAGTGATTTCTTTGAGCATCCTGATAACCAGTGTTTTTAACTCTGCATCTGATAGATTGCTTATCTCCATTTCATTTAGTTCTTTTACTGGAGTTTTGTTCTGTTATTTCATTTGGACCATATTTCTTTGTCTCTTCAATTTGGCAGCCTCCTTGTGTTTGTTTCCATGTATAAGGTAGAACTGCTTTGATTCATTGTCTTAGTAGTGTGGCCTATTGCAGAAAAGGCACCTGCAAATTGGGTGGTGTGGAGCCTTAGGTAATTGCCCAGGTGGGGCAACTCTTTTCACTGCTTTGTGCCTCTGTGTGGGGTAGGGCTCAGAGAGGGGACTGTGCCACTGCCTGGCCTCTGGAGATTGCCCAGAAGGAAGCTGTCTCCTGGAACTCGCCTTGTTGCCAGTCACTTCACTTTCTCCCTTGTGCCCTCCACTTGTGCCCTCCAGCTATTTTCTTGGAGCTGAATCCCAGAGGGAGTGAGTTGCATAAGTCCTAATTCTGTTGTGGGCCCTTTAAGAGGAGTCTCTTGAGAATCCCACAGTTTCTCCCTCCACCCCAAACCCCACTGGTTTTTACAGCCAGAAGATATGGGGATTAATTTTCCTGGTGCTCAAACCCTGGGCTGAGTGGCCTGGACTGGGGCTGGGATCACTCGCTCCAGAGGTATCCCTCCCAATTTTTATCTTCCACTCGTGAATGTGGGACTGCCTATTTTTCCTCCTCTCCGTGCCACTCATCTCCGTACCTCTGTGCATCTCTGCCCCTCTTACCCGTTTGGATGAATGTGGCTTCTTTAAATCCTCAGCTCTGACTTCCATACAGCTTGATTTTTTGATGAACTGGGTGATATTTGCTTGTAGTCTAGTTGGAATTTTTGCTGTAGTTGTGCATGGAGATGAAGCATGCCTACCTATGCCTCCATCTTGACCAGAAGTCTGAATATATTCTTAATATTCAAGAATATATTCTTTATGAACATTTCTTCCTATAAATGTTTCATTAAAACTTGTTCTCTGTATAAATACATTTATAAAACATCTGTTAATAGATCCTTGAATATTCAGAATAGTTATATATTCTCCCTATGAATAAATATATTAATGAATAATTAATATACAAGAAATATTTCTTTAATTTGATGTAGTCCTTTATTTTTTTCCTTTATTTCCCTTGCCCTAGGGGATACATCAGCAAAATATTGCTGTGAGAGATATCTGAAATTGTACTGCATGTGTTTCCCTGTAGGATTATTATGGTATCATGACATATCTAAGTCTTTTATCCATTTTGAGTTTATTCTAGTGCATGGTGTAAGATGGTGGTCTAGTTTCATTTTTTTTGTATGTATCCCTCTAGTTCTCCCAACACTATTTATTGAGGAGACTGTCTTTATTCCGTTGTATGCTTTTGCCTCCTTTGTCAAACATCAATTGACCATAAAGATGTGGGTTTCTTTCTGGGCTCTCTATTCTGTTCCATTGATCTATGTGGCTGTTCTTATGCCAGCACCAGACTGCTCTGATTACAGTGTCCTTTTAGTATAGTTTGATATCAGATAGTGTGACCCCTCCAACTTTGTTTTTCTTTCTCAAGATTGCTGTGGCTATTCGGGGTCTTTTTTGGTTCCATATGCTTTTTTGAAATATATTTGATCTAGATCTGTGAAATAT